CCTTGTCATTGGTGCAAACTATGTAGCAGCGATGTTGGTCCACGCGCGAATGGATGCAGTCATCGGCGTAGATGCCCTTGTGCTGGCAAGTCAGCCGCTTGAAGCCTAGGCGGGAGCGCGGTGTCACGAAGTTATGACGAGGTCTGTCCAGCTTTAAGCTTTAAACCCTGTACCCTAAACTCGTGAACCCTGAAAGCTGTACATCTGTGTACTGCGCTTGGCAGCCGGTAAAGAAGGCAACATCCTATTGGCGACGAATCGCGCGCTCCTGATGCAAAAGCTTGGTTTAGGGCTTAGGGTAGCTCCGCTACAGTATATGAGTTCGCACCTAATGCCAATCCAACCCTTAAGGACCCCTTGTCTGGGGATTGGGACAACTGCCTGATTTAGGACGTCAGAATGTACAAAGGACTCTCAAAGGACTTGTCCCGTCATAAGCGATGCTGTCCCAAACCAAACCTCACAAACCCTGGCCCTCTACACCAAGATGACCTTGTCAGCGCATGAGTCGCCCGATGGAGATGCCGATAATGACGGAAATGGGGCTATAAGGACGCAGTGTGTCGGGTTGAGGTCATTTCTGAAACGCACTGGCGCCTAATCCAAAACTTTTTGCACGAATGCACGTCCTAGAGACGCGCATGGATACGATAACCGGGGCTCCGGAACTATGGACAGCAGTTTGGAATTGCAGGAGTGATTGGGAGGACACGATGTGCAAGCCCGGTGCGACCATCAGTACCCCGCCAGTAGTCGAAACCACCCTAAACCCTATAATAACCCTAAAACCCTGAACCCTAAATCCTAAACCCACAGAATTCGGAAGTTACGTCGGATTCCACGGTGGCGGCTGCGGGATTGCGCTGAAAACTGCCCTGGCCCCCTAACCCAAAGACAATGGTACCTTTGCTTGGTGACTAGTAGTCTATGGCCCTTTGTCGGAGAGCATATAAACCCTAAACCCTAAACCCTAAACCCTAAACCCTAAACCCTAAACCCTAAACCCTAAACCCTAAACCGTTAGTCAAAGAGGAAAGGGGCCCTGGGGTCCATGCGTCCTGGGAAGCGGTTCTGTGCTTTTCCGAGGTGCGTGGGTCCTTCGCCAGGCGCAGCGCAAGCCTTTTCAGACAAAAGCTGGCTGCGGGTGTGAGCGCGCACGACTTTTGCTGGCACAGGCAAAGAAAAACATGGACTTGTGCAGAAGGCCATCTAAGTAGCTTGGAGGTTCATGGGTAGTTCGCTGAAGTAGGGCTACAAGCACCCCTAAATGGGTTATAAGTATATTTAAGTACAGCTACCATACTGATAAGCTGACTTCTAACTACCCATGAACCTCCAAGTAGGGCTGCTGGGAAGTGCGAAGCGCAAGAGCTAGCTGCCGCCTATGCCGCGTGCCCATCTTCTCCAGCTCTCCCATGACGCCTTCTTTGCAGGGCAGTGCACGATAGAATGCTCACCCCTTTAGACAAAAACTGTTCGCGACCCGAATGCCTCAGAAAGCAAAAGCTGCGAAACTGGCACCAGCAGGGCCTAGTGAACTGCATGGCAAAGAACCCTGTGGAGCCCCAAATGCAGGTGAGTAGAAGGAGTAAGCCAACTCGCCTTTAAGTCACGGGTACTGGGTTGCCTGGCAAGCTTTAACCACTTCTCGGCTAGAAACAGCCAGCGTTGCTTGGAAGTTCATGGGTAAAGTTACAAGTAGGGTTGTAGGTATGGGAACTATACTTATTACCCTATTTCGGGCCTTCATCACCCTACTTATAGCTACTTGCCCACTCCAAGTAGGGGTAGGGTCCCCTTAGAGCTCAGACTCGTCTTGGTCCCAGCAGCAATCGGTGATGCAAGGGACGCACTTCGCCAACAAACACTCCATGGCAGCTTTGAAGATGTCCAGCTTCCTGATGGAAACATGGGGGGGTTTACGAAATTGGGGGTACCTTAGTGGGGTCCTTATTGTCAGGGGATCCGACTATGTGGGGGTACCCTTGTCACTATCGTAAACCCCCACATCCAAGCTCTGAACGCTTATGGTGGCCTTCAGGGTTTAGGAGCCTGATGGGTGATTCGAGTATAGCTACAACGGGACGATCATTTTTCCGACCCCTCTCATAACCTGCAGCCCAGAAGCATCTGGATGGACATGTTGAGAAAGTTCGTGTCCAACAGCCTGGGTTTGTTGACGAGGCAATAACTGAGACCACTTGCGTCCAACGATTGGACCCTACAGAGAGCCCAAGGAATAAACCGTAAACAGACCCCATTTTGTCGTTTCAAGGATATCGGGCTCCGGGGAATGGGCAACTGCCTTGTTTCTTGCGGCATCTCAACCTTTGAACGTGAAAGTCCCCAGTTGCGAGGCTTTTCGAATCAAGAGACTCCGGCTCCCTTTACGTTAGATTATCTCGGAGTCCGAATGCTAAGATGGCCCTTAAAACCCTCCGAAACGTAATCCTCAATGTGGGCCTCTTCAACCCAATAAGGGCAAATTATAACATGTCCAAGGGCCTACCTACGGTTTATGTACCTGTTAACGCCCAAATAGAATAGAATCCCTCAAAGGGACCACCCAAAAAGGGCACCCCCCATTGTCGGAATCTGATGTCAGAGTTCTCCCCTAATTAGCGAGCATGGGCATCACTGCGAAGCATGTGTGTAGGTAGTTAAGAAAGAAGCCGCCCCTAAACAACAAACCTGAAGCCCCTAAACCCTACACCCTAAACCCTAAACCCTAAGCTCGGTAGGTATTCTCGTTTGCACTGTGGCCTTACACCTCGGGGACTCGCGCAATGGGGACTATCTGCACGCTACTTAGCCAGAACTGTGCCACAAGCATCCTTTTCACTCGTTCCTTGTGCCTGGCATGCAAGAACCCGGACACACATGCATCCGACCCTAGGCGCCAAACCCTAAACCCTCAACATCTGATCTCGAAAGCATGGAATTTTGCATGACCAGTGGCAACTGATAGGGCGGTTTCAAGTTGCTGTTGTACTGGAAGAACCTCGTGTGGGCTCATTCCTCACAGCCCTCTAGAGGCTCGGCTGAGGTTCGTGGAGCACAGAAAGCTGCCAACAGTGTTCTCATCAGATCTGCGCCGAACATGTGGCTTAGACTCGCCGTTTGGGTACAGCTACCGAATCACTTGGTAGCCCAGTAACTATATTATAATAAGGGCACCCTTTTTGGGTTGGTTGTTTTTTGAGGGAACCCAGAACCCATAACCAAAAAAAGAAGGGTAAAAGGCTAGCACTGGGCTACCAAGATCACTTTGTACCAGCAACCGGGAACCACAACCCTTTGGGCGCCTATAGGAGGGCATCCTTGTTGCGGACTCCACGGTTTGAACTTGGGGGCCCAAACCTCAAAAATCCCACCCCCTAAGGTTAGGGTTTAGTTTAGGGCTTAGGGCTTAGGGCTTAGGGCTTAGGGCTTGGGGCTTAGGGCTTAGGGCTTAGGGCTTGGGGCTTGGGGCTTGGGGCTTGGGGCTTGGGGCGTGGGGCTTGGGGCTTGGGGCGTGGGGCTTGGGGCGCACTGGCATGCCCAGCCACAACGAGGAGTTCGCCTTTGGGACTTCTCGGACCTCTTCTGGCTGGGCCTTTCTCTTTTTCTTCCTGGTGGCAGGTTTAGGGTTTAGGGTTTAGGGTTTGGGGTTTGGGGTTTGGGGTTTGGGGTTTGGGGTTTGGCCGGCAAAAAGCTCCAGTGTTCGGGGTCTAGTGTCTCTGGGAAAGCTTACTGGGTTCGAGAAGCCTGGGCTTTGGCGGGATCGCTTCAACTCGGAAGACTAGATAGTGTCAGTTTTTAACATTATGTTTGGGGTTTAGAGTTTAGGGTTTAGGGTCCGTTGCAGGGGGAGGGCGAGGGGGGGGGCCGGGGGGTGGCGCGCACAGCCTTCCTAAACTTTGCACTGATAAACTGATAACTCAGAACTAGGACTGGCCCAAAAAGCCCAATAAGCAAAACACATAAGAATGGAGGTCTATACGGTCAGACAACATGATTCTTTGTTGTCTATTTAGGGCTTCCGAAGCTATGCCGCCGCCAAGCGTCTTGCCAAGCGTCTTGAGGGTCGCCTTGGCCTTCCTAAGCTGAGGGGCTCGGGGCTTAGGGTTTAGGGTGTAGGGTTCTCCGGTATACTAACAGTCCTTCATAGGGATTATAAGAGGGGGACTGTACCATAATTCCGATTAAGGACCAAAAGGTTTAGGGCACTGGCGTCCCTAAACCCTGTACCCTATGCTCTCGAAACCCTAAACCCTAAACCCTAAACCCTAAACCCTAAACGGGCTTAGGGTTTTCAGCTCTCAGACTCACACGCAACAGGGACGTTTTGGCCACCCGCCTTTGCAGGCCGTAGGGTTTTAGTGTTTTTGTTGGCTTCAGGGCTGAATTCAGGGATTTAAGAGGGTTTAGGGTTTAGGGCTTAAGGTTTGGGGTTTAGGGTCTCGGGTCTTGAAGGGGCCCCGTTGGAGCTTGGGGGAAAGCCATCGCTGGGCCTTCGAGCTTCCTTGAGGTTGCGAGAAGCTTCTGGAGAATGTACTTGCGGAACACATTCCGACATTGGCTGCACTGAAGGGTGGGGGTTTTTGAGGTCGCTGTAAAGTTGCACATCCCAACCTCGCCGAACGACCTGCAGTAAGCCTGAATATCTCGGATCCTCAAAACCTATAGACTAACAAAGGGCTCCCTTTGTAGCACCGGGTAGGAACCTAAGACCCAAAAACATAGAGAGCAAACAAAAGGAGCCACCGCCAGATGTAGTTCATCCCGAAAAAGCCATAAGTCAGAAGCCTCAAAAGTTAGAACGGGGTTTTTGGGGGGTTAATTTTGTATATTTATAATGGGCCCATAGGGGAATACTAGTAGTAATTACTCCGACCCCTAGATACAGTCATAGGCCTCTAAACCCGCAGCCTCCTTCGCCAAATGTGCCGAGTTGCGACTCCGGCTTCACTCGGCCGTCGTTGGCGCTGAGCCGCTTCATGGCCAAGCCCACCTGCTTCTTGCGCAAGGCCTCGCGGTTGCTGGTGGTTCCTGATATATGAATACATACTGATATATATATATATATATACATATCGATATATATATATATATATATATATATATGTGTGTGTGTGTGTAATTAAGCAAACTATGCCACACAGCAGGGCAACCCTTGGAAATTAAAAAGGCGTCAGTTCTCCATGATGCAGAGGTCGGGGTTTACGGCTTCATAGTGGCTTATCGTGGTTTGTAGGGTTTATGGGGTTCATAGTACTTTAATGATGCCTTCCTTGCATTGTAGTGGTTTGCGGTGGTTTTAGGGGGATTCAGGGCTTGTCTCTCGGAGAGAGGCCCCTTGGTTGCACCAGCTTTGCTATCCCCGTTGCAGGTGTCGGGTAACGCTGGAATGTATACGAAGGTTGGGGTTTAGGCTATAGAGTCACAACTCTAAATCCTAAACAACATCGTATTCGCAACAAGCCCAAGATGAGCAAGTTTTGAGTTTTGGGCGGATGCTCGAGCACAAACTTGACTTGTGATCCGGGCTAGTGAGGAGCTTCTTGCATCGCAAAAGTTCCGTTTAGGGGGTTTCTGCTTTTGGGGTTAGGGTTTAGGGTTCGGCAATTGAGGTTTCATATATGCGTCGGGACGAGAAGAGGGGCACGCGGCTTCGGCTTGTCAAAGAGCTCGCCGAACTGAATCACTCCAGAAGGTTTACTTGGAAGCCCTTCTGACTTAGTGAGTAGGGTCATCACGTCGGGTTCTGGGACTTTTTGAGGGGTTTCTAGGGGATACACGTAGACTTCCTAAGTCAGAAAAGCTTCCAGGTAGGGTTTAGGGCTTTGGAGCTACGACTCACGCGTCCAAGGTGGCCTTGCGCTGTTTCGTGCCCATGGCCGCAACTGATGCTTCTAGCAGCTTCTTCGGACCAATGCTCCCGGCGTGCAAGAGTCGTCAAGCAGGCACATGCTTAGGTTTTCTTGAACCTGAACCCTAAACCCCAAACCCTCAACCCCAAGCACTTCCGCAGATGAACTTGGGACTCTCACAGGGTCAACGTGCCATCCAGCAACGGAGGCAACAGCACCTCTTCGAAGTCAAGACTCACAACTCGGCGACGCTACATGCAGCAGCTGGCCACACTTGGAGGTTCATGGGTAGCTAAAAGTAGCTTTGCAAGTATGGTAACTTAGAAGTACCCATGAAAACCCTAAACCCTACACCCTAAACCCTCAACCCTGAACCCTAAACCCTAGTCCCTAGTCCCTATGAACCTCCAAGCATGATATAAACTTGCCAGTCCTTCGTCTCTGTGACGGGGAAGAGCCTCAGCAAGTCGGAGAATCATGCTGCAAGCCCTGCATGGGCCAAACTTGAGAAAGTTTAGGGTTTAGGGTTTAGGGTTTAGGGTTTAGGGTTTAGGGTTTAGGGTTTAGGGTGCTGCAAGGACGGGAGGAAGACCCTCCTGAAGGGCAGCTAGCTAAGCCAAGGTGCCACTTCCGGAACTCAAATGCAGCCTTGTTGGCTGCTGAAGCCGTGCAACATGTGGGAGTTTACGAAATTACGAAAATCAGGGACCCCCCTAAACTAGACCCCCAAATAGGAGGATTCCCCCTTGAAATAAGAGCCCCAAGACGGAACCCCGCATTTCGAAAAAAATGAGTTGTGTTGGACTTGTGGGGGGGGGGGGGGGGGGGCGAAACCCTAAACCCTAAACCCTAAACCCTAAACCCTAAACCCTAAACCCTAAACCCTAAACCCTAAACCTTACTAAACCCTAAAAAACCCTATAAACCCTAAACCCTAAACCCTAAACCCTAAAAAACCCTAAACCCTAAACCCTAAACCCTAAACCCTAAACCCTAAACCCTAAACCCTAAACCCTAAGAAAGTTCGAGGCTTCATGGCAAATTGGCCTTCTTGTGTGACGCGGGCACGTTTCTTGCACCAGGTCAGTCCAAAGCAGGATGAGTCCAAGAGCTGCCCTTTGGTGATCCGCCGAAACCCTACATCCTAAACCCTAAACCCTAAACCCCAAACCTGAAACCCTAAACCGCAGCTGCGCTGCGTCTTATGAGTACGCTGCAAACACAAGCATACTTGGAGGTTCAGGGATAGTGATCAGCAGGGTTCTAAGAACCCTCTTTTGGGTTATAAGTAAGTAGAAGTTAACATAAGTATACCCCTACTTATGACCACCATGAACCTAACCTTAAACCCTAAACACTATACCCTGAACCCTTTTTGAGCACGGGCTGAGGGGCATGCCCTAAACCGTAAACCTTTTGCACCTGAACCCCAAACCCTAAACCCTAAACCCTAGGCCCTAAACCCGAACCCTGAACCCTAAACCCTAAACCCTGAACCTCCAAGTATGGTACCTCGCATCTCAAGATGCAAGGGCCGAGGCCCGGATCTTGAGCTGAGCTTGTAACCAATGTGTTACAAGGTTTAGGGTTTCGGGTTAGGGGTTTAGGGTTTGTTCCCCCTTATACTAGCAGTCTATAATCCCTTTTGTAATCCCTACTGAGGACTGTCGGTAGAAGGGGGGCATCCCAAAATTTGTAACCAATATGTTTCCAGGCTGGCCAGAATTGGGGATTTAGGGTTTAGGGTTTAGGGGTTTGCAGCTTAGGAGTTTGGGGCAAGAAGGACTGTTTTGCCGCCCGCAGAGCTGAATGGTAGCCTCCACTTCGCAGGAATGTGTCATTTAGTGTAGGGTTTAGGGTTTAGGGCTTAGGGGGTAGGATTTCGGTTACCAAGCTATCAAGGCTGGCTCGCCGCAAATCCGGAAAACAACCCTAAACCCTGAACCCTAAAGTCCTGTAGAGATCCGAGTAGGCCTCCCACTGCTGCGCATCCAGGCTGCTGTCATCTGTCGTTTCCTGGCCGGTCGAAAATGCAAATTACCTTACTTCTCCAATAGCCAAGGGGAAAAAAAGGTTAAACTTTAATATTCCTAGTGAATCAGGAAACCCAAAAAGTTTGAAGTTCAACCAACGGCGAAGTAAGTTACTTGGGCTGTAGATAGCATCATCAGATCATTTTACGACCTTGAACAGGGGTTTACATGGGAACACGGCATGTTTCCCGCGGAGGCTGATGTTGGGCTTCTCTGGCACGAGTCTCGCGATCAGGGTGGCTCGATTTTCAGAAACCTGGAGTCCCTTCACAGAACGGAAGATATCTTTACTTCTTAGGTCCAACGATTTACAAACATTGTTGAACTACTCCTCCACGCTGATAAAGTCCTAACCTTAAACTTAACCTATAGTACAGGCCAGACAAGCCAAGCATGTCCCTCAGCGCCCAAAGCCGTCAAAGTGATGATTGGTATGGTATGTACCCAAAGGCTCCAATGTAGTTCCTTCTTGGGTTAGTTATAGGGGATTCCAGTATACTACCCCAAAACGGTACTACATAGGAGCCTTTGGGTAAGGTATGTGAGGCTTTTGAGGGACGCAGTTTGATGGACTAAGGCACAGCAGGCCGGAAACATAAAAAGCAAAAGCCCCAAAAGCATCGTTCCAGCCTGCCCTGGTCCAGACCTCGCAGAGTTCTGATCGTTTTGTGAGCAGGGCTTCTAATAGGTTGAGCTTCTGGACTGTTCTTGGCGTGCTAGCACAGGCAAGGAGCATGCTGAACAGCAGCTGCACCAGACATGACATGGACTGTGTCTGCGCACAAAAAGCAAGCAATTCACCGGCGTTGGCAATGCTTCTGCAAACCTGAGCCCGCAAACTCGAGAGACGAGCGCGGAAATAGGGTCCCGAACCTGAAGTAGGCTTTTCGATTGCAAGATCCGTTCGCTCGGTAGATGCATGATGCGACGGGCACATTTTTGCCTATCGCTTTGGCTGTTTGTTATTGGGTAGCTTGCGCGGTGATCGTGGATGTGGGATAATGGGCTTTTGTTGCCGCAGCGAGCTTCACAAGCTGCTACAAAACACCGCACCCCATCCCCGCAACCACTCTAAAGCCCTAAGCCAACAAGGGGCTTAGGGCTTCGAAGGGTGTAGGGTTTAGGGTGTAGGGTTTAGGGTGTAGGGTTAGGTTCATGGGTAGCTAGAAGTAGGGTTTACGTAACTATACTATACTTGTAATCCTATCTATTTAGGGTACTTTTCACCCCACCTATACCTACCCATGAACCTCCAAGCATGGGCCGGTGAGGCCCATCAGCAGTACTAAGCCATCCCTTATCCCCAATTCAAGCGGTTTAGGGTTTAGGGCTTAGGATTTAGGGTTTTGGGCGACTCCCAACTTTTAAAACCCTAAACCTGGGTAGCAGAATTCCAAACTGTCCACGCTTCTCTCGGGCCCCAGCACGTTGAAAGCGTCGGTCAGCAATAAGAGGCTGAGGGCGGACGCAGGGATAAGCAGACCTTTGGGAGTTTAGATTGGGATGTTCCCCCCTTTTACTAACAGTCCTGACTAGGGATTATAGTACCCCAATTTTCATCCCTATTAAGGACTGCTAGTATAAGGGGCGAACATCCCAAAGCTTAAAAAAGGCCTCAAGAACATACACCCCAAACCCTAAATCCTAAACCCTAAACCCTAAACCCTAAACCCTAAACCCTAAACCCTAAACCCTAAACCCTAAACCCTAAACCCCAAGTCGAGGCTAGGCTGCCCTCAGCCCTCTCTTCTCGGCCCACGGAGCCCTGCACCCCGTATTCTTCATGAATATGCCTTATAAACCCTAAACCCTAAACCCTAAACCCTAAACCATCAGAAGAATCCCTATAGGTCCTACATCGTCTAAGGGATATTCCTGCCTTTTTTGGCACAGTCGCTCCCTAAACCCTAGACCCTCCTGAAGGGGATGTTGAGGGGTTTATTGGGTTCAGACCTCCCAATGCTCTTCGAAGCCGAGGCCCATGCCCAAAAGCCATGGCTGCCGCTGCACCCGCGCCTTAGTCTCTTGCACACCATGCCACTCAATGGCGTTCACGTCAAGGAAAGTTTTAGGGTTTTGTGATTAGGAGAGCTTATTGTTTAGGTCTTTTTTTGATGAGTGTAGGGGGCGCAAGGCATCATTACCATGGTAGTCAGGACAGCCCATGGCATGATGAGACCCCGGCCAGGAAAAGGCCAGGGCAGTCCGAGCGGTAGCGCACCATGAGCCATGTGCAGGCCGAGCGCTCTAAAACTCTCAGATATGGGGCTTTCCGAAAGATAGAGGTACCCTTTTTGGGGGGTCCCTTTAAGGGGGTTCTATTCTATTTGGGGGTATAAAAATGGGTACCAATACTTCGGGAAATTCCCGTATCCCAAATATATGCACCCAACAGTAAGCAACACAAAGTGGAAGAGATCTCACAAGGGGACCGGGAGCGCGATGCGGAGTCTAGTTTTCTACTTTGGGTGTGGGCTGCCAAGTCAGTTGTACATGAGACGCTCGGCCCTGCTATGGGTTGACCTCTGAGACGAGGAGCGCTAGGGACGTCTACTCCAAGCAGTCTTGCCCAAAAGGCTATGAATCGAAACCCTAAACCCTAGGGTCCTTGTACCAATAGTAGTATGGGCCGTGGGAATACCAATCAGAAAGGCAAACTTCCCTGTCTCTTCAAGTCATGCCACGGTCTTTCGCACGTGAGAGAAGGCTAGTCAGCCAAAAGCTGAAGGTACAGCGGCAACATCAAGGCACCGGGAGTTTTATGGGGTGGGGGTTCAGAGTTTAGGGTTCAGGGTGGTCCTAACCCTAACGTCCTGCTGAGGGCTCGCTACCAACACTTGAGAGGTCACTGAACGTGCAGCCCAGGTAAAGGCTGGGGCTGCTGGACGCTCCAAAGCAAGGCAAGGCCCACACTGGCCGTCAAGGCGGTCGAGCCTTTGAGTGTCAAAGGTAAAGACCCGTATCCCCGGCTCAGATCGGGACGGTGCTGAAGCAGGGGCACAGCATGCCCCCGCTGGAAAAAGCAAAACCAGACTTTAGGAACTAAACCCTAAAAAAATATGCCGGGTGGCTTGGGGTGGGCTTACTGCCACGCGATGTTGCGAGCGACCCGGGCAGAGGGGCCGGTTGGAAAAATAAGGTGAGGCCCCGGAGCCCAGCGTACCCAGAACGTAACACACCCTCAACCCTAAACCCTAAACCCAGAGCAGGAGCTGACCTACAAGAGTCCCGGGCTGGCCTGGCGTGCATGATGACATGCTGCCAGTGGCAGTTCTTCGCACTCCTGACCCTTGACTTGCCATACTTGAGCTCCTGAGTCCGAGTCACTTTCTCTCAATGACTGCATGCGACTCACGCAACTCTGTCATTCAGAGTCCTTACGCGCGTTGCGCCCCCCAATGTGAGACACGGCAACCAGGAATAAAGGCTTCCTTGGTGCACCGAAGCTCGTGGGTGCTATGGCCATTGCATAGTGCAGGATGTGATCGGGATGTGATGGGGACTGGGAGGGGAGTACGAGAACTCACGTTTTTTAGGCTCGTCATTTCTTCTGTTCCCTCAATCGAACCAGCTGCAATTGAAAGGCTATGAGCCCTTAACTCAAAACCCTAAACCCTACCCCCTTTTCAACGAGGTCTCTCCCAAGTTAAGGGGTGTAAGGAGAGACCCCCAGAAGGGACCCTTAACCTATGTACCTAAGTAGCCCCTAAATAACCCCAAAGGTCTGCAAACCCAAAACCCAAAACTCTAAACCCTAAAGTGTTGGGGCAGGGAGGTCTCTCACAAGTGCCTGCAAAGCCGAAACCCTAAACCCTAAACCCTAAACCCTAAACCCTAAACCCTAAACCCTAAACCCTAAAGGGCAGGGAGACCATTGAAAAGCCATCCTTCAGGTTAAAAATGGGATGGAGCTGTCCGCAAAGGGCCCCTTTCGCAGCTCCAGGTCCTTGGGCGTTTGGGGTTTCAGGGGTTTAGGGTTTAGGGTTTAGCGTGTCAGGGGTTCAGGGCTTAGGGTTTAGGGCTTCAGGGGATTATGTCGGGTTTCGGGTTCAGGGGTTTAGGGTTTAGGGTTTCAGAGGCTTATATCGGGTTTAGAGTTCAGGGTTTCAGGGGTTCAAGGGTTTCAAGAGTTTATATAGGGCTTTGGGCTTAAGGTTCGGGCTCGGGATTTTGGGTTTCAGGGGTTTAGGGTTTCAGGCGTTTTGTGTTTCAGGGCTTTGGTGGTTTAGGGGTCTTGGGACTTTGCCGAGGTCGAGGTAACTTTCATACTCACGGCGAATGTTAAGAACTCCAAGCCCCAAACCCTAAACCCTACCTAAACCCTAAACCCTAAACCCTAAACCCTAAACCCTAAACCCTAAACCCTAAACCCTAAACCCCGGCGCAGGCCCTGCAGGCCCTTGCCTGTGGACACCTGAGCCCGGCCCGCATTGCCATCAGGAAACACCCTCTTGAAAGGCCTTCGGCTGTAGTTGCATAGAGACTTAGGTGTCCCCTCCCCCCAAAGAGCCCAATACCCCTTAATTAAGGAATACTCCTATACTAAGGATCCCTATATGGTTTAAGGAATATTGCTTAGCTAAGGGGTTTTGGGCTCTCTGGGCCTTAGTCCAAGGAAGCTTAACCTCTCATCATTGGAGTAGCTGTGCAATAACCCCGGAAAATTCTTCAATTGGAGTTTGCTGAACACCTGGCCCCCAATTGTAGTTACTGGGGCTTCCTGTTCTTTTCTTGTACTGCGCGTGGAGGGAGATCTTGCACCACCTTCAATATTGAAGCACATGTTTTCAGGAACTGGTCCAAACCCTATACCCTATACCCTAAACCCTGAACCCTACATTAGCCAATGTTACAAAAGAGGGTGTGGGGTCGCGGGTGTAAGAGTTTGAGTCGGCGCAGGATACTAACCACATCTAACCGCAAGGATCAAAAACCCGAAAAAACCCAAACCCCCCAAAGCGCTTAGGGTTTATGGAACCCACAACTGGAGTTTGGTTCATGGGCGTTATAAGGCCTCAAGGACACGCGACACATAGGCATGGATGCGCCATCTCAAGATTTGTTTTTCCTAAACCCTAAACCCTCTTCCCAAATCCTAAGCCCTAAGCCCTAAACCCTAAAGCCCTAAACCCCTAAAGCCCTAAACCCCTAAGTGAGTGGAAGGCCACAAGGTGCTCCTACTTTTGAACCTGGGCACAGCCTTCTTCTGCAAGCAGCGCACCCGCATCCTCTCAGGGAAGCTTTGCTTTTGAGGCACTTTAGTGGGTTTAAGGTTTAGGCTTTATAGGTTTTAGGATCTAGGGCTTTTAGGGTTTAGTTTTGAAAATCCTTCACAATACAAGCAACCCTGAGGGTGGGCTTGCTCATGAGGACTTGAAACGACTGATCTCTGTACGACAAAGCTGTTGAGGGGGAAAACCGTGTCCCTTGGGGCCCGTGAACTAAAAACCCCCCCCAACCGAGCTCAATGAACGCTGGAGCAAGCTTGGGGCCTCCGGCCTCCCCCTGCCCGAGCAAATCACCCCGGGATCACCAGGTGTCGGCTAGAGCGACGTAAATCCCTTCAGGACAACATTGCTAGCTCGGCCACATGACCGCCCTGCAGATGTGGGGAAAATTGCCCTGGAGTCCCAGCAAGTCTGCTACCCCGAGGAGAACATGACCTCTCAGTGAAGGAAGAAGGAGATGCCGAGGCGAGACGCCCAGGAACGCTTGCAGCTGCCAACAGCTACCACCCCAGCCCCGTGCCGCCAAGCCCTGGCCAGTGAAGAACTAGGCATCCATGCCGCTTCCACTCACGGGCTGACGGCGAGGTCGGCACGAGCGACAAGGTGGGAGGCTGACGTTCCCGCGACGTCTCTCCGACGTCGGACAGCTCTTCCATTGGCGCGTGCAATCGCAACCGCAAGCTGCTCAAGAAGGCGTGCCCGTGTCCGGTTGCTGTCAGCGCCCTCAGCCGAGGCGACCGCGTCAGCGTGAAGGAGGCTGCTGCACGGGAATGTCCACCTTGCGCTTCGAGCACGATGGGCTGGCACAGGAGGCCAGCGTCTGTGCACAGCTGCTCGGTGTTCTGGTGCTTGCGTTTGTGAAGGGCGTAGCCTTCCGCAGCGCCGCCGGGGGCTCCCCAACTAGCATCCCAATGGTTAGGCCCCTGGGCATTGATGACTGCAAAGTCCAGGGCCAGGGGCCTAGGGGCGCCCTGAATGCTACCGTCCGGGAGCCGGTCCAATAACGGGCCCGGCTGCTGCAGGAGGACATCTGCTGGGCGACGCCGTGCCAGCCCAGGCAACAGCTGCGGCGCTTCCGAGACAGGGCTCAGCCGTCCTCGCCGACAGTAGTCGAAAATGAGGTCTCGCACATGGTTGTGCACGGCTGTCGCATCGCCACCTGACATGCAGGAGAGCACGTGTCGCCGTTTGGCGTCAGCGCAGAGGCCACAGAAGCGGCAGGACCCCTCACCCGGGCTCACATCGACTCCAAGGCGAAATCGCACTGCAGTGACGAAATCGTCTCGGGACAAGGAAGTGTCAAGTGTGAGCGAGGGCGTGAGCTCCCACAACTGTGCGGCCCCAGCTGCGGGAGCAGCGTGGCGTCTGCAAACATCATCCGCAGTATATAGCGATGGTCTGCCATTCAAGAATGGCCGCGCGACCGAGGTGTTTGCCAAGCGCCTACTGCCGCAACTGTGGCGATGGCACGGAGGGCACAGCTACCAGGATGCCGTGTCGACGTAGCTGCTGCCCATGGCTGTCAAGGCGCTGGCGAGATGCGTGTCCGGCAGGTCTCCCTCCCATACGTAGTCTGGCCAGATAGACTGGCAACGTTCGAAGGTGGCGGTCTGTGAGCCAACGAAAGCCACATCGGCGACACGAGCCGCGGGCACTAGGCCCAAACCCCCGGGTTTAGTTTTTTGTTTAACCTGGTTTCATTGCTGCCAGGGAGCTCTTGCATAGCCACAACACGGAAAACAATACACGGCCAAGCAGTACTTGCCCGCACAGCCATGTATCTCATGTTGCAAGGGGTTAGAATCCTAAACCCTAAACCCTAAACCCTAAGCCCTAAGCCCTAAGCCCTAAGCCCTAAACCCTAAACCCTAAACCCTAGCCCAGAAGCGCTTGGCAACTCCCCAAAAGAAGAACTCCAACAGACCCCTACGCAACAAAAGTCCAGAATTGCTTCCTCGAGGTCCGCGCTCGTTGACACCCTGTTTTTTGGCTTAAACCTGAAACCCTAAATCCTTCTTCAAGGCCATGGATAGGTATATGTGGGGCTAGAAGTATGCTAACTACACTTAAATTAAAAACCCCCACATAGGGTACTTATAATCCATGAACCTCTTAGTAGCGGACCGGGCTTCTATGCTCTTTTTGTTCTGCCCCGCACACTTACATTAAGCACCCAACTCACAGCCCTTCACTCCAGACTCCAGAGGCTCTAGACACTACAGATCCCCAAATCCTCAGCCATCTTTTGATTGTAGTGTATAACCCATATCGTTTTAAGAGACCCTAAACCCTAAACCCTAGTAGCCTGCGGCCCCCAAAGCCCTGACCTCAGCTTCTGAACCAGCGCTTTGTCTTGGTACCCATCTTCTTTGAATGCCCCCACAAAGACCTGAGTCCACGCAGGGAACTTCGAGCCGCTGCCGCCCACACATCCCTTTATTCTAGCGGCCCGTGATGCTTATGAAAGAATCAATTTGGGATGATGCTGGTGATTCTTGCGGCTCCTGCGTTACCTCTTAGGTCTTGAAGGCTTTAAAGGGGTTCAGTCCCCTGTACACTTTCAGCCCGAACCCGAACCCACAGCTAGGCGGTAGCACCTCTTTGCCGTTTTGGGTTTATATAGGGTTTAGGGTATATGTATGTATGTACATGTATATATAAAGTGTTTAGGGCTTATATAGGGTTTAAGGTTAGGGTTTAGGGTATATATATATAGTGTCTAGGGTTTATAGGATTTAGGTTGAGTGTTTGGGGTCTGCTTAAAGGCTGGGTGCTTCCATGCTCGTTCAGATCTTGGTTGAACCTGAGACTGCCTAAATCTTGCCCTTGCCCTTGCATGAATGATCCGCCAACCCTAAACCCTAAACCCTGAACCCTAACCCCTAAACCCTAAACCCTAAACCCACAGCCAGAACCGTGACCCCGAGGTTGAGGCACCGAACCTCTCCGACGAAGCAGGCCTGAACGCTCAACCCATAAAAAGCGCCAAGAGCCCTTCTCGCACATCCTTTACTAGGAGGTTCATAGTACTTATTGGGTTATACAGCTATCATTGGTTAATAGGTACCATGAACCTCCAAGTACAGACCCCTCTCAGTGCCAGGGGCATGGGAATACTTGAGGTTGCCGTTGATCCCCTGAAAGGCTGACGCTTCATCGGATTGGGCAGAGGGGGGGGGGGATTCAGGGTTTAGACCGGGCTTGGAGCAGCACAGGGCGTCTTGGAGGTTCATTAGGGCAGTTATGAGTAGGGCCAGAATTACCCTAAATAGGGTTGCAAAAAGTAGAGATGCCATGTTTACAGCCCTACTTGGTGTTTGGGGTCGACGGACAGGAGAGCCCCAACAAAGCACAATGTTCACATCGTGGGGTACGAACGGCAGGCAGGCTCAATGAAGCATGGCTGTGGTAAGACCGCTCAGCCGGCAATGTTGGAGCTCCTTTCTCCGTATACCCCCAACTCATGATAACCCATCGGAGACCCTCTTTGACGTGGGCGCCCTGCGATGCCCACACATGCCCGCCATGCTTGTCAAGAAGTTAAAAACTCCAATGGGCCCTCTTACGCCACCTGCACTGGCCTGTAGGCTCTCAATCAAGGGGCTCAAGGAGGGAGGGCCCTTATGGTACTGTAGTGGACTTAGGTATATAGGGACTATATAAGGTATATATGGGGGTTATACCGGGGAAGAAGATTCAGGCTCCCTTCGAGGGGTTCCTCCATATATCCTTTTAACCTTAAGTTTTGTCATGGTTCGGATTCCGGCTGCCGGCTCGTTGGCAAAGCCCGCCAGAAGGGACTGCGATCCCTGGCGAGGGGTGCCCCCAAGCTTCAGGATAGAACTACAGTACAATAAATAAGAAGAAGCAGAATACTAATAATAATAATAATAATAATAATAATAATAATAATAATTGTAATAATAATGATGATCATGATAATGATAATAATAATAACAGTGACCTCTGCTGCCCATACTTCCTCAACCTTCCTCTAAGCCCTAAACCCTTAACCCTAAACCCTAGACCCTAAACCCTAAACCCTAAACCCTAAACCCAGACCGCCCAGGCCGCCCAATGGGGGCATCAAGCCCTGGCCTGTAGCTGCCGTAGAAGGGATGCACCGTTTGCCTTTGTTGCTCCGGGGATCCTCTGCCCCGAATGGGATTTAGGGTTTAGGGTTTTAGGGTTTTAGGGTTTTAGGGTTTTAGGGTTTTAGGGTTTTAGGGTTTTAGGGTTTTAGGGTTTTAGGGTTTTAGGGTTTTAGGGTTTTAGGGTTTTAGGGTTTTTAGGTTTTAGGGTTTAGGGACATCAGTCGATTGGTGTTTGACAGTGAAGGCCGAGGACTTGGTGCCCACTGTAATCCCAGCAAAGACTGAGACTTCAGACAGAAGGAGGGGCGGGAAGGGTTTTTTCCAGGACTCTGAGAATCTCTGTGATCCAGATGGCCCTGACACCCTGAACCCTGAACCCTAAACCCTAAACCCTAAACCCTAAACCCTAAACCCTGTCATGTTGCGAAGTGAAGTCGGCGCCGTTCCGAAGGAGGAAGTTCGCCACGCAGTCGCAAAGAACGGGAGCTACACCTGTTGGGTCGCTTGGGGGTCGCTTGGGCTTTGGATCAGCTTAGGGTTTAGGATTTAGGGTTAGGGTTTAGGGTTTAGGGTTTAGGGTTTAGGGTTTAGGGTTTAGGGTTTAGGGTTTAGGGTTTAGGGTTTAGGGTTTAGGGTTTAGGGTTTAGGGTTTAGGGTTTAGGCTTCAAAAGACCGTGCTCTACATGAAGCCGAAGGAGTTTGAGAGGTTCAAGGCCCTAGGGGCTTGTTTGCCACTGGGGACAAGTGTTAGGAATAGGGTTTAAGGGTTAAGGGTTAAGGGTTAAGGGTTAAGGGTTTAGGGTTTAGGGTTCAGGGTTTAACCCCTAAATCGGCCACCTTGCCACCCTCTCTCAAGCTACAGTCACAAGACTACTCAACTGATCTGCGTTCACGATCACGAAGAACTTTGCAAGAGTGATGGAAGCGCTGTCGACAGCAATTAAGCTGGGGCGAGTACTACAGTCAGTAAGCGACAGTTGAGCGAAGACAGTCGACACCACTACCCCAATTCAAAAAACAATACTCTGGGCGGACAAGTCGATCAAAACCGAGCTCAAAACCCCGGGGCCTTCGTCAAGATTGAGCAACAGTTTGACGGTAGACTACTACTATTTGCTTAAGCACGCCCAAAACAGACTAAAAACAAAACAATCCCATATTACCCTTATTAGGATTAAAATCTTTATTGTTTTGGGGATTCTTAAGCAATTAGTAGTAGTGTTGGAAGATGCATCACTCAGGGAAATTGTTTGGGGCGCCACTGGCAGCATCAAGTCTGCCTGAGAAAGACCGGCTTCGAAACGTTGCGGGAAACCGTCGCCAGGTAAACCCTAAACCCTAAACTCTAAACCCTAAACCCTAAATGGAGCATAAGTTGTGGTGACTAGTCTAGATGGCCGCACGGACTTAAGAGCTATGGGGTTCGAGCGTACATCAAGCAGCGAGTCCTATCACCAGCGTTGCTGTTTTTTATCCTAGAAACAGTCCAGAGAACCCTAATTGACCGTGCGGAAACTCTCAACCCGAAATCCTAACCCTAAACCCCAAACCCTTAACCAGTAATGTTGGACCTGGTTTTAGTGGGGTCCCCTATATGAAGTCAAAATGGATGGGCTATTCAGGACACCCTGACTGTTGGGGGGGTACAGACGAGGTCCCGCTTTACAGTCAAATCGTTCCCGAAATCCGGCATTTTTGTTCAAGGATATAGGGCTTCATTTGGATGCCTTGGTTTCTTGGCTTAAAAAGCCGGGCTTGATGATTTTAAAGGCAAGCCTTGTGATTTTAAAGGCCGACCTCGCTTATTCCAACCCGCCCGAAACCATTAAGTCCCTTTGAGGAAAGCATTTGCAAATTGGTTTCGTTCAATCCGACAAAGGGGGTGGTCCAGGGGCCCCCTCCGACCCTCAATAATGGGACTGATTCGGGACCCTCTTTAATGTCCAGGCCCCGGCCCGGAGGCTCCGAATTTGAAAAAAGCCTATGGACCCCTTTTAAATTCAGAAAAACTCTTCCCGGACCCCTTTTCGATTCGCGCGGCTCCCTTTGAAATTCATATAAGCTCATCCCTTCCGCCCGGAGGCTCCGAATTTGGGAAAATCATATGGGTCCCTTTTGAATTCAGATAAAAGACTCATACAAGCTCATCCCTTTTTTAATTCATATGGATCCCTCTTAAATTTATATAAACTCCTCCCTATTAACATCATATAAACCCCCAGGCCCGTTTAAACAGGTACAAAAACAGCTTCGACCGTTCTGGTAAGGGGGGGGGGCCACACACTAAAGCGGGTGCAAAATTAAACCCTAAACCCTAAACCCTAAATCGCATATCGCGCCTAGTCCCTGGAAGTCCGGCAGGACAACGGTGCGGTGTTCCCTGAATAAGCGGCGGTTCTCCTCCCAAGCGTCGGGTGAACCCACCTGGACCTCTTGCTCCTCTTAACCTTACTGTTGGTTAGTAGGGAATGGTGGAACGAGGTACCCTATATCCCTTAAAGGATCTATATAAGGCCCTAATTCCCTCATTTCCCCTCTAACCAAAAGTAAGTAACTTGGAGGTCCATGGATAAATTATGTGTAGGGTTAAAAGTAGGTTTTAAGGTTTAGCGTTTAGGGGCAGTTATGAGTGGGAGTATGACTACCCGAAACAGGGATATAAGTACAGCTACCATGCGTATACACCATGAACCTCCAAGAACGGTTTGGCTGAGGGCTTTGAGAGTGCTCTTGCATCTCCGTAGTTGGGCATGTGTTGCTTTTTGCTCCGCATGTGATCTTTGCGCACGAAGCATCAAGCGGCTCGACGCGTGGACTGGCATGTGGTTGCCGAATTGGATTCGACAGCCAACCCTGACTTCTTGAACCACTGCCAAGACAAAACGAAACAATCAACGCATGTAGGGCATGGCAGGGTTGGTTGAAGTTCACACCAGGCCACCAGGCGCTTTACATATCCTACACACACAAGAGTGAGGGAAGATGAAGACAGCAAACCTCAATGCATCCGACCGGATCCAACTTCTGACCCTCCACTCCTTCGGGCCCACCCCTGGGACATCAATCCCCCCTAAATCCTCTAACCCTCAGACCCTCGAACCCCTAAGTCCCCAAAATCCTAAACCCTCCAACCCTCCAAATCCTACAGGCCTTGGCCAGCCACGTCTTGGGATATTCCACAACCTGCCACTTCTCCTTCGTGTCACCGCGTTTGCCTGACGGCCAGGCTTGGGTTTCGGCTCTCACACTCGCACAAGGCAGGCAATGATTCGGTCCGACAGTCTGGCATATGTCACTACCTCCAGGATTCCTGCATGTCACCATCTATCAAAGCATTCATCACACAAAACAGATGGCAGTTTAGGGTTTAGGGTTTAGGGTTTCGGGTCTTCAGAACCGCTTACATGGGTTTAGGGACTAGGACTTAGGGTTAAGGGTTTCGGGCCTTACTTGGAGGCTCAATGGGTAGATATAAAGTAGGGATTTAAGTATAGTACTTACACATACAACCCTACTTATATTTACCCATGAACCTCCAGCAGCGGCCCTCATCTAAGCTCCCGCAAGGAATCATCATCGTCATGGATCAACAATGCAACTGAGGCGTTGCCGGGTCTTTGCAGGTTGCTCTGAGAATGTACACATGCCAGTGGCGTGGTGCCGGGGCTAAGAACTTCTGACCGAATGTCAAAAACTTAGTTGCTGAGTTCATAAGCCTCAAAAAAGTGTACGCTTTCAGTCCAATAGGGGATTATAGTATCCCAAAAGTGTAAAGTGTACTCACTCAGATACTAAGAAAATGGGATGCGTCGCGTGTTCGGCTCCACGGATCGCCGCCAAACAGCATGGCCACATGAAGCGTTCATGCGTGTGCTGACCTAACAGGTTCTTGGCATTCCTTCGCGGAGATGAACAGTTTGATGCACCGGGCAAGGTATCGATGTGGGGCCGACGCTGCATGCTGAATTGGACACTCTGTTCAGTTGCGCTTGTACGCACGAGATCTGCAACGCCTTGTGAAAACTTGGGGATCCTTGCATTCCGCCCACGTACTGAAGAGAAAAGGCTTGGGCAGAAACCCTACAGTGTACATTCTTTTGGGGGTGCGTTGTTGTTAGAGCTAGTACCATCACAAGGCAGCCGGGGGCCCTAAGGCAGGGATTTAAGGCATAAGCTCATTAGGCCCTGAACCCTAACCCTAAACCCTAAACCCTAAACCCTAAACACTGAACCCTGAAGGTTTAGGGCTACAAGTTTAGCGGCCTTAATATTTGGAGTAGGGTTTTGGGGTTATTATAGTATACTTAAAAAGGGACCATAAGGGAAGACTACTCGTCATTCATTATTCCGACCCCTATATTACATGCAACGATGAACTCCAGCAGCAACCCTCAGTGCAAGATTCTGGGCTTTGGATTTGGGATGCATAGGGTAGGGCCTCCAGGACATAGGCTTTGGGACTGAATTTGGGTTTGGGATTGTAGGAGCCTCCCCCTAAACCCTAAACCCTAAACCCTAAACCCTAAACCCTAAACCCTAAACCCTAAACCCTAAACCCTAAACCCTAAACCCCAAACCCCAAACCCTCCTTCTAGCCGACCCCTCGTCCCAGCCTCTGTGCGCTGCGTGCCTGGAGTAACCTCTATGAAGTATGGTGTGTTCGTACTGGTCTCCTTATAAGGAGACCTTGTACACACTCGCCAATCTCCCTAAGGAGCCATATAGTGCCCTAGGCCCTAGACACTCATCAAAACGGCAGAAGAAAAACAAGACGAAGCAGACCTCGAGACAGTAGACGCATTTCCCTACGGACTATTCTAGGTAGATCTAGACCCTTCATTGTACTTCCGTGTCGGGGTGCCGAACTGTGTCGTTGTGTAGCATGCAAAAAGGCAACACGAAATACTGCCATTTGCGATAGAAAAACTTGTATAGTTTCAGGTGCTTTACAATCCTCCCTCGTCAAGAAATAATTTGAGACCGCTGAGAAGTGCAACGTGGACACATGGCCCCAACAAGAAACCCCAGACCTAGCGGGAAAGCGAACCAGCCAGAACTACCACAACCCTACCCTAAACTCCTAAACCTCGAAACCTGACTCACTGAAGGAAGGTGCAGGCAACATTGCTAGGCATTCGACGGGTATGATGCTCCACTGGTCCACCAGTTAGTCTTGAGCTTCAGAAAGCAGAGGCGGCATGGGGTCGCATGGCGGCTGCGGATTACTTCCGAACCTAGACCCAAGAGTAGCCTGAGAATTTAAAAAGGGCACCCTTCTTAGTTTTAAAGGGGCTAAAAAGGGTACCTAAACCTAAACCCTGAGAATAAAACCGGGCACCCCTTTTTGGTTCAAAGGGGCTTGTAAGGGAGCCTAACCCGACAAAAGGGACAATTTGGCCTACTCTGGGTCCTGGAAACAGAAAGGATGGCCTCCTTGAACATTGCGTTGAATCCAGTTGTGAGACTCTGGAACAATGGCGCCTGGGACATCAAGATGCGTGAGGATGCAGTTTCCTAAACCCTAAACCCTAAACCCTAAACCCAAACCCTTAACGACTTTGGTAATCGCATGCGCTTCGGCCGTGTCGCGGAAGAGTGATGGACAACTAATTGCGTAAGAACCTCCCCCACAAATATTCTTCTTGTACGGGTAGTAAGGGATTATTCATTTTTTCTGTTGTTGGGGTTCTTAAGAAAATAGTAGCGGAACTGATGAGACTTTGAAAGGTATTGAAGAGCCCAGTAGGCCAAGCCAACCCCCCTTAGCATGCACAGCAATTCACACCCGAGGTTCCCCCATAGTGAACCCGGGAAATCCTCATGTTGAGACGAGAAAACGAGCACTGTCTCACTCTAACTCGCAGCCACGTAGCCGGCTTAGGTCACGCCATCTTGGTAGCAGCATCAGCTGCATGACGCGAAGCGCGATCACGCAGGGGGGGTTTAAACGAAGTCAGGACCTGCGACTTTCGAGCCAGTCCTAGCTCGCAATTTTGAGGAAGGCTGAGGCTGCACCAGCCCCATTTGAAGTCATACACCCTCTACTACGATAATCCCTACCAAGGTATACGAACCCATATACGACCCCTTTAAACCAACATCCTTTGCCCCCATCCCCCCCTCCCCAGATTCGTTTCTTGCCAAAAAGGACTCGAATCCAGCTCTGAGCCTTGCAAAGCGTTCCTGCTGCTCTGGAATTAAGCCCGTGCCGCGAGGCTTAATTACACACTATGCCAATGTTCGCATTGTCATGCTTTGGGATGTTCCCCCTTATTCTAACAGTCCTTAATTAGGATGATAGTACCCCCTATTATAATCCCTATTAAGGACTGCTAGTACAAGGGGGAACATCCGCAAGTCATGCTTGTTGATTTTTGCTTGTGATGGCTCTTCTAGGTAAATGTATGCACTTGAATAGTATGTAACGCACTCTGCATTCTTTCAGTACTTCGAAGCCAATGTGTGCCTGATCAGCAGACGACCCACGGCAAGCTGGGGACTTGTAGAACTTCACAAGTGCTTCTGCTTGGCACTCATGCTCCTCTTAGAACCATTCTGAGGGGGTAAGGGAATCTTACTATTTTGGGGACTATATTGGGGGTCCCCTATTTTCGAAAATCCCCGTAGTGGTGCAGAATTTTACACATGCCGAAGGAGAGTTTTGCTGCAGTGAGACGCCCGTCGACCATATCTGTGGAGCATCATTTGCTGTTTCCTGGTGGTCAAAAGTCAAAAGGCTGTCAGAGACTTCTCAAGTTTGGGTTTAGGGTTTAGGGTTTAGGGTTTAGGGGTTAGGGTCTAGGGTTTAAAGTTTAGGGTTTTGCATCCGCGGCGCAGAAACCACATGCGCGCCCATCAAGGAGGCCGACGAAGACGATCGCCATTGTTTGTAAGGAGTGGTCCTGCAATGCTCGCGGTGCAACCGATCACTCCTAAAGCCATGGGAGGGGGGGATGGGGCATCTGCATTCTGAGCCGTTTCTTGTACCCATGCACCTTAACTATGCATAACAGAGATCCGGAAACTCTAAACAACCCACCCACAAGACTCCAGAATGTACTAAACCCTAAACCCTACACCCGAAACCCTAAACCCTGAACCCTAAACCCTAAACCTAAATAGCCTGCCTTGCACTTCTCTACAATCCCGCTCTGGAGTCCTTCGGATCCAACGTTAAGGCTCTCTCGGAACACTTTCCCCTTCAGTAAATACGGGCCCCCACACTTACCCGGGGTTTAGGGTTTAGGGTTTAGGGTTTAGGGCTCAGGGTGAGCAGCCCATACTCTTACCCAGGACAAGTCTTGCAACATTCGGGAGCAGGGTTCTAGCTACCTTTCCAACCCAAAGAGCCAGATATCCCTTAAATAAAGAAATTTACCTTAAATCATACGCAGGATCCCTGCAAACCCTAAACCCTAAACCCTAAACCCTAAACCCTGAACCCTGAACCCTAAACCCCAAACCCCAAACCCCCAAACCCAACCTTGTAGTGGTACTGCCGGAAGTGCACCCACTCTCTGGGCAGAGCGCGGCGTACTTCCAGGCGCAGCCAAGGAATCTGGAAGTTGTCCATGCTGACAACCTGGAGCTGGAGGCCGAAGCCTTCTAAGCCCCTAAACCATGTGGAGGGTTTAGGGCCAGTTTAGGGTTCAGGGTTTAGGGTTTATGGTTTAGGGTTTAGGGAAAGGGTTTAGGGAGATTAGGGTTTAGGGTTTCGGGTCGAGGGTTACTAGCCAAGAAAGCATTGCAGAAAGTGTCGCCAACCCCGCTCTCTGCCTCTGGCATCTCCGCCGTCTGCTTCGTGCTGGGCGCAGTTGGCCCTGCACTGGGCATCGCGACTTGCACCTGCATCAACAAAACACCGATGTCAGCAGCGCGCACCCTCATGTACAGTGCAAACGCATTCTTGCGTTGCTTCCAATGCGGAGGACAAAAACATGGTTCTTTGCGTGTGCTGATTTCAGTCATGAGCCATAGATTGACTTTCTTGGCCAGACTGTGGGTGGACACAATAACCCTAAACCCTAAACCCTACTTGTTGCCAAACACAACCCTTAAACCTCCTTGGGGGGCGCGGGGGCATCACCAAGGCTCATTCATCAGCACTTGGGCCGCACGAAAGTTCCACCCACAAGTTTTGTTTCCAGCCAGCACCCGGCTGTTTTGCCGACCAAAGAGCCACAAACTTTCAACAGCCTTGAATCTGCCTTCCAGCCCAAACCCTGCAAATTCGGTTGGCCGCTAACAGCAGGGCAAACTCAAACTGTAGGCAACTAACGCCCCGGGAAAAGCCTGGATGTATAAGCTACAACTTTGATCCTATGCTCTCAACGTGACGCCACTTACATTGACTTTCATGTCCTCACAGGCAGGAAGAACAAATTCGACATCCAAAGTGTGCCTGTGAGGTTTACTGAAACAGCTTGCAAGAGCTCAGATGTCAACCCCTGAAGATCGAAGATCCCAAACCCTGACGAGGCAGAGCAACCCTAAACCCCAAACCCATACACCCATTAACTCTAAACCCTATAGGGTTTAGGGTTTATGGTTTTAGGTAAACCCTAAGGCAGAGCTTTACCCATAAACCGAGTGCGGGCGGGCCTCCGTCTCCCTCTTCTTCTCCCCCTCTTCCAAATCTTGCAAAGCCTTCCAGCATGGCAAAAGCATACCAGTGCTTGTCGAAGTCTGAACGGTTGCTGAGCAAGGCTCCCGTAGCCCATATATACATATACACATGTAACATGTACATGTATATATATATATATATATATATGTATGCACATATTCTTTACACACATGATGAAGCTACCCTAACCCCCTTAAATAAATGCATAAATAAATAATCAAAATTAGAAAAAACAAGTTACATAACAAATCAGAAAACAACAAATAACAAATAAACACAATTATATACATATATTACCCCTGAAACCGAAACATTCGCTTCGTGTGAGGGGGGGAGAGGCAAGAGGGCTTCTTGGATGCGCTCGCATCTGGAGCCTGGCGGGCCTCAGGGTTAAGGGTTTCGGGTTTAGGGTATAGGGTTTAAGGTTAGGGGTTAGGGTTTCGGGTTTAAGCTAGGGTTCCGAAAGGTCAGCCTTCAATTGATAATCCCAATTAAAGCCGTAAGCCCCTTTTTTGCATCCAGGTCTCTTGCAGTCAGCCGGGTAAGTGGGAAAGAGCCGTAAGCCCCTAAACCCGTCAACCCCTAAACCCCAAGAAGTCCTACAACCCCCTCTATTAAAGCCCTACTGAAACCCTACAAACACCCTACATCAACCCTACATAAATCCTACATAAACCCTGTATACACCCAGAAAAACCCTGTAAACCTGGCTAAGCCCCGTGGAATCCTTGCGCTGCTTCAAGAGCTCCGTCTCTCCAAGGACCTTTGAGCGAAGCAGTCTTGTCTGTAAGTCGATATATAAGGCTTATGTTGGGGTTTAGGGTTTAGGGTTTAGGGTTTAGGGTTTAGGGTTTACGGTTTACGGTTTAGGGTTTAGGCGGTTTTAGGGTCCAGGGCTTACATTGGCTCACAATCTCGGGTGTAAGAGTTCGTTCTTAGGCATGGCATGCTGGGGCCACCCTGTGCAGTAGGGAAGTGTGACCTCGCAGCACATCGGATAGGAACAACCCTAAACCCGAAACCCTAAACCGTAAACCGTAAACCCTAAACCCTAAACCCTAAACCCTAAACCGTAAACCCTAAACCCTAAACCCTAAACCCTAAACCCTTAACAAACAAACAAATTCCATCCTCTTTCCTGGAAAGCCCCTCATTTCAGGGCAGGAGCAGAAACGTGAGCGCTGCAACATGCAAGCACCCTGATCAAAAGAAAACTGTAGCACCTTGCTGGGCAGGGCAAGACAAGGAACAGATGCCCCGTACATGATGCCACCAAGTGCACCTCCCCGCAACACCCCTCTTGAAACAAAGCCGCAATGCAGCTGACGGCCCTCAACATTGAACTGCACACCGCCGAACCAACATCTACCAACACACAAAACGTACCTACTAGAGGAGCCCTAACCCTTTGTCTTTTTCTTACCCTAAACCCCAAACCCTAAACCCTAAACCCCAAAACCCGAAACCTAAACCTAGTAGCCCAGGAAGCTACATTTTTTCTTACCCTAAACCCTAAACCCTAAACCCCAAAACCCGAAACCCTAAACCCTAGTAGCCCCAGGAAGCTACATTGAAAAGCTGCCTGCAGCGCCCCAGCCAGCGCTGCCACCTCGGTCCGGTAGGTCGAGGAGAAGCAGGAATGGCCTGCCATGTTGAGGGGGGCTGCCCTACGGTTTAGGGTTTAGGGTTTAGGGTTTAGGGTTTAGGGTTTAGGGTTTAGGGTTTAGGGTTTAGGGGGGGGGGGGGGGGTTCGGGTTCAGGGTTTTGCGCTTATAGGGTTTAGGGTTTGTAGGGTTTAGGGAGGTCTTCTGAACGTCTTGGTCCTGGTGGCAGTTAGGATGCAAGGGTTCTGTCATAAGGGGCTGCTCTGAATGAAGCGCGGCGCTGAAGAAGGGGGGGAGGGGCTTGTCCTGATCTTAGGCAACTCAAAGTACTGATTACCGACTGGGGTAGAATTCGATGACCATGGCGCAGGACTGAGAGCCACAACTAAACTCGCAGGGCCTTGAGCAGCCAGCGCAATGAGACTGCTAGTCGAGCAACCCTGAACCCTGAACCCTTTTCTGGACCCAAACTCCTGAAGTCAGCTGGGAAAGGCCTTTGACAAACTTCTGTCCAGGCAAACATACATACATTCTGCCAAATTGTCAATCACTGAGCTCAGACTCTGTACATTGAGCAAATCGTTCAAGCCGTCTTTGTTGCTTCAAAGCCAACCTCCGTCGCCGGTGGAACCCTAAACCCTAATATTGTTGCACCCACAATATTCTAGTGGGACGCTATTATGAAAAGTTTTCCGGCTATTCGGCATCTTGACCCTATGTTTTGGTGGTCCGCTATAATGAAAAGTTTTCGGGCAGAGACTGCTTGTTTTAATGGTTTTGACGTCCAAGTTCTTAGTTTGAAATACAACACTCAACCTCCTGACCCCTTCCCTGCCTGACTGTTTGGGGTCTTGTTTTATTCAGGGCCCTTGTCTGTTGGGGGGCGGGGGGGTGGAGGGGGGGGTTACATTATTAAAGCAGGTCCAACATTAAACCCTACACCCTAAACCCTAAACCCTACTCCCCAAAAGGGAGAACTACCCAGTACCGCTCTTGGCCTGCGTGTTGGGCCAAAGACCTCCGGAAGGCCGCGAGCTGCTCCTGTACAATTTAATTAAAGCTTGGTGTGGGGTTTAGGGTTTAGGGTTTAGGGTTTAGGGTTTTAGGGTTTAGGGTTTAGGGTTTAGGGTTTAGGGTTTAGGGTTTAGGGTTTAGGGTTTAGGGTTTAGGGTTTAGGGTTTAGGGTTTAGGGTTTAGGGTTTTAGGGTTTAGGGTTTAGGGTTTAGGGTTTAGGGTTTAGGGTTTAGGGTTTAGGGTTTAGGGTTTAGGGTTTAGGGTTTAGGGTTTAGGGGAAAAGGTTTAGGGCTTAGGGTTTAGGGTGTAGGGTTTCGGGTTTATGCATTCGGTCTTGTGGACTGTCTCGAAGAAGCTCCTTGGAGACAAACTATGCAGGACTGAAGTACTGTGCATCTGGCCACGCATCTCCGAACTCGAGCTGATGAACCAGGGGAGCCATAGGAGCAACGTACGGTGACTTAGCAAAGTCTCTGTACAGTTGACCCTGGAGGGTTTAGGGTTTAGGGTTTAGGGAGGCTTCGCAAACAATGTGACATCGGACCTTGTATGAATATGCTACTTGTAGCCCGAATTCCTGAGCTTCTCGAAATTTCCGTGCAATCTCCAACCTCCAAGAGCCAACACGAAACATATTTGTTTCTGACTTTGGGAATCTGGGGAGTAGTGCAGGGTTTCTAGGGAATACTTAGACTAAGTAGACTTACTAAGTCAAAAGGCCTCCAAGAAGATGCACCCAAACAGATTGCGCCCTTTTTTGAACTCTAAACCCTAAACCCTAAAATCTAAACCCTGAACCCCTAAACCCTTAAGCCATCACGCCCGGGCAGCACGTGTCCTCGGCAGCAGCCGCTGCGGCCCGTGCTGCCTTGCAAAAAAGCAAAAGGGCTTAGGGTTGGAATGTTACCCCTTATACTAACAGTCCTTAAAAAGCATGAGGCCCTTTGTGTGCTACGGACAATGCATAGACCCTGGACCCTAAGCCCTCGTTTCGCAAGAGACTCGACTGCCATAAGCCCTGAAGCCGAAAACACAAACACTTAACCATATAGCACTAAATTGCAAACTCTAAACTCTAAACTCCAAGCAAGCCACCGGACAAACGTTGGGAAGGGTGACTGACAGCCCTATGTAGACAAAAACCACTGTAAAAGGGCCTACCTATGCAGCCACATATACATATATATATATATATATACATATACGTGTCCACATGTATATATACATACATACATATATATATATATATAACCATTATATATGGCAAAATATAATTTCATATTTTGGCTGCATGCTCCAAGCCCCGAAGACGCGCGCGCCTTGAGAGCTGCACTTGGCGGCCTCGGCGCGGGCACCTCGAGGTTGATATCGAAGCATGGGCTCCCCGAAAGCCCCAAAAGGGTTGAGGTTAAGGGGTTTGGGGGTTTAGGGTTTAGGGTTTAGGGTTTAGGGTTTAGGGTTTAGAGGGTTGAGGTTAAGGGGTTTGGGGGTTTAGGGGTCTGGGCGCTAGAAGCTTCGGGGTTTGGGGTTGAGGAGTTGAGGGGCTTATGTTCAGCTTAAGGGTTCAGGGTTCAGGGACTACATGCAGGGTTGTCATTTCGAGCAAACCCCCCCTTTCCCCCCGGCCGCCTCGCCGCAATGGAATTTGAGGAGGCCTTGGATCGAGGGAAGCGGTTTAGGTTGGTTGGTTGGGTTTCAGTCCAGGTTGGAGCCCCATATAAACCCTGTTTGGCGGATCATTTTGGGTGGTTCTAGGTGGGGTTGCACGTGCTCCGAATAGGGTTAGAAGTGTATTAGATGCCATAAAAACAATCCTACTTGCAACTACCCATGCACATCCAAAGTAAGCCCAAAGCCCTGCTGCTTTGGAAACTCGTTTAGGGGTCTGAAGTCTTGACCTTTTGTGTTTGTTGGCAGTACGTGGGTGTGCGCGTGTGGGACGACCCTCGGATTTGTTCGGGTTAGTTTAGCCGAGCCTATTGAGCTTCCTCTTGCTGGGTGGGGGGAGGGGGGGCAGAACAGTGGAGATCCGGGTGAGCAATTTTTCGCTGGATGACAGCCCTTTTTAAGCTTTCGGGCCGGAGGCCTCATGTACAGAGGCACAAACTAACACTACGCACGCACTATTTAGGGTTTAGGGTTTAGGGTTTAGGGTTTAGGGACACACAGAGAATTTTCCTGGAACCCACAACTCCAAGACCAGGAATCGCATGCGTGCTAAGGGTCGATGGCTGTGGCACTCGAAGAGCCAGTCGGGCTCGAGGGCAGACCTGATACGCTCTAAATCGGTTTTAGCTGGTTTGGGGTGTATCCTTCTGCGCATAGGCTTCATTAGGGTTTAGGGTTTAGGGTTTAGGGTTTAGGGTTTAGGGTTTAGGGTTTAGGGTACAATCCACAGGAGTCCCATCTTGCATCAACGTCGGGTCATCAAGCGCTTCTGGAAGCTCGGGAATGCTCATGCTAAGCACTGCTAATCAGGTGGAGCCCTATGCATCTCCGCTTAATGCACGCATTCTATCGACCTCCTACTCTGCACCTTATCACAGACCATATCAGGTTCATCACCCTAGGATTTCAAAGTATGCAGGTAGACACCTCTTTTGGGATCCACAGTCTACACGTCAAACCAAACGATCGGCGTTCTAGAGCCGGGTTGGGGCGACTCAGGGGCCGAAATGTCCTAACCCCGCATGGCCATCCCGGACTCTCGCGCATGTCAAGCTGAGGCAGGGGCTTGTGCACGAAGTCGGAATGGCACGACACCTAAGCCGTTTTTTGCCCAGCAAAGTGCTTGAGGTGACGCCTTTCAGGGGTATAGGTCTTAGAGTTCACAGCATACGTCAGATGCAACCTTAAGGCTTCTGGGTTGAGGGATTTAGGGCATGATGAGCTGCGGGCTTCTTTGAGCTTCTTTGTAAGGGTGAGGGTTTAGGGTTCAGGGTGTAGGGTTTTAGGGTTCAATCGTCGACAAGAGGCCACCACGACCTTGGAAAGCCTCCTGCGAAAGTTGGCAGGGCGAAAGGGTTTAGGGTTTGCAGGGAAGCTCCCTAACGTCGTGTAGGAGCCGATGGAACCCAACCCCTACAAGCCTACACCGAAAACACTTCGAATAGGTGATCTTAGCATGGGTCCAGGCTGTTCCGTGAACTTCGGTTGTATCCAGCAACTTTCCTAAAACAAAAAACCGGCACGAGCTCACCCCGGCTGATGTCATAAACTTGGCTAAACCCTAAACCCTAAAACCTGAACCCTGAACCCTAAACCCTGAACCCTAAACCCTAAGGCCTAAGGCCTAAGACCCGAACATCAGCCCCAGCGACGACCTATGCCACTAGTCTGAAAGCCAAGTGGGGCCCCACCAAGCAGCACTAAGATAGCTCAAGCCCTAAACCCTGAACCCTGAGTCCTAAACTATTTTGGTTTCAGGTTGGGGGGGCAATCGATGGAGGGTTCAAGGGAAGTTAATGAAGAACAAACTCCCGTCTCCCGAGCCCTGAACCCTACCTGGAGGTTCATGGCTAGTTAGAAGCAGTGAACCCTCTCTCAGACCCCTGGGAGCATCTCGAAAGCCGATCCCGGGTCCCATGATCCAAAACAATGCCCCAATAGTAGAGTTAGTGGAGGACGGAACAGTACGAAGTTGGGGGGGGGAGCAAGTTTCCAGAGCCCTAAACCCTAAACCCTAAACCCTAAACCCTAAACCCTCTTTTCCCCTCAACCCTCCAGCCGCCTTCGCTGGACCAGCCGCTGGAGCCCCTGTGCCATTGCATTGGCTGTGCGCCGGTCCACAAGGGACCTTGGAGGGCTTTCGGGGGTGGTTTAGGGTTTAGGGTTTAGGGTTTAGGGTTTAGGGGGTTGAAATTTGGCGAATTGTACCCAGAGAGAACCCATTATCCTTGAAGGCGCACGCTCCTCAACTCAAGGGTGGCCAGCTTTTCGGGTACTTGGAGGTTCATGGTACTTATTAACCAATGATAGCTGTACTTATAACTGTACTTATAACCATATTGGGGCACTTAAGGGCTTATAAGTGGGTTAGAAGTACAGGTATAATTGGTTAAGAAGTACCATGAGCCTCCAAGTACGACACTCGTTATGAGCTTGCTACTGGTAATGGGCTCTCCGCAGAGCTTGGTTAGACGTTTGTTAAACGGCAGTCGCTTTCGCAACAGGGTTCAGTCCTATGCACGTAGGGCCCTTAAGAATAACTAGACTTAAGGGGATATAAGGAGGGAAACCTAGAAGGTCCCCCGATGCATACGTTACATAGTCCCTATATGCCGAAGTAGGCCTGGCATTACCCCTAAGGACCCCTATAAGGGCCTTCAGTGCACAGATAGACCCAGTAGAGTAACCTAGGAATTTAAAAGGGCGCCCTTTTTGGTTTAAAGGGGCTTATAATGGCTTATATACGAGAGCCTAAACCCTACAACAAGGGAACAAGGGCCTACTTCGGGCCTAGATAAGGTTTCTTGCTCAATTGAGGGGCCTTAGTTTTTGCGGAACCTCCAACCTTGACACTAGACTCGAGACTCTAGACACATCCATCCCAAAGACTCAATTCCGCCTTAGTTCCTTGAAGAGTACACCTTGCGCCTACAGAGGTTCGTGATCAGAAGTTCTGACTTACCCTAGGGGCCTGAATAATGAGAATTAGAACTGGGTTTTGGGGCTATTATGGTATAGTTCTTAAGGGGCCCTAAGGCAAAACTATGAGTAACTCTTCCGATTCCTTCAGCAGGTTTGCTAGGCTTCAGATGAGAACCATTTGACATGCACGGGGACCGAAGACCCAAAGCCTCTGTCGTGAGCATCCATTTCAGCTCAAACCGACTGTTTTGAGGGTTTAGGGTTTAGGGTTTCGGGTTTCGGGTTCATCATCCCATGTGAGACTGAATAAGTGACTATATCACGATGGGCGATAGAGCTTCCAATCCCTTGATAAGGCCCTCTTTTGCCGAGGAGCGTGAACTCATCAAGGATCAGAGCCTACAGAGCAGAATCTCACGACAAACTCATTGAAACGTCTCCCTGCCCTCAGCCCCAATCCTTCACCATCCCGCCATCTGGGCATTTCCCAACACAATGGACCCTCACATACCTCAAATAAGGTTCATCCTTGTGTAGGAACCCCCAAAATAGAGCAACCAAATTTTGGGAAACCCCCCGCATGTACGAACTGCAAACACCTGAAAGGAACTCTGGAGCAGAAAGCCTGTATCCTTTAACTAGACCGTCGTTCATGGGCAGTTGGAGGTAGAATTTTGAATTATGCTTACGATCCTACCTAGGGCACTCAGCGCCCTGCTTAAAACTACCTCCTCCAGGTATGAGTTTCGCTGTTGTTTAGCCACCCGCCAAGCAGCAGGCTTAGGGCTTACAGGGCTTAGGATGGTTTAGGGTACCCCAAACCCTCAATTTTCAAACCCTAAACCCTAAACTAAACCCTAAACCCTAAACCCTAAACCTAGACCCTAAACCCTAAACCCTAAACCCTAGACCCTAAACCCTAAACCCTAAACCCTAACTACATTCACGCTAGGCCGTGTCTTGGGCTTGCGCCTTGTAGCGCGGCCGCTTTCCCTGCCCCTTGGGATCTCTGCAGCCCAGGTCCAGCACCCGAGCCATGTCCGCACGCGCCTGCGGACACACATGCTAAGCAGAGAACACAACATACCCCCAAGATACTAGAGTATACCATGCTTGGAGGTTCACGGGTTGTTATAGTAAGTAGATTCAAGCAATTAGCAGCACACTTATAACCCTACTTCTACCTACCCATGAACCTCCAAGCAATGCTCCACAACGTACCATCATACGCGCATACTGGGGGCTGCAGATCCAGACTCAGTATCACGAGGAAGCTTGGTGAGATGCAAGCCCAACCCTGTGCCACCTGTGCCTGCCAAATGGGTGCCTTTAGGATTTAGGGTTAGGGTTTATTGAACCTGTTTTTGTTTGCTTTTGCTCCCTTGGTCGGAGTCCCTGACACGTGGAATTCTAAGATTATACTGGAAACACCAGTCCTATAGTGTGGAATTGAGCACCCCCAAACTTTCAAACCGGCCATAGACGCTAGAGTTCCTTTATTCCATCAATAGACTCAATAGACATCTCTTCAAAACTATGTGAACCTTTTCAAACCTTTTCCGAACCGACTTCCTCCCCAAGCTCTATGCGCCTAAGAGGAAAAATGGCTGTTTCAACCACTGTAGAAATAGCTGGGCTTTGGCTAAAGGTTTCGAGCACTGTCTCTATCTCATCCGGCAAACAACAGAAACTATAGGCGGGCGAAAACTCCAGGACGTGGCCTGCTCACCGCCGCTGAGGCTTGAATATGGCCTCCGGGCCCAGAAACACTTCACAAGGGGTGGTGTGGGTATCAGAGCAGCCGCTGTGGACGGTGCATGATGATGGCACCGTAAGAAGAAACCACATGAATACATCTATATGTGTATATAGATATGTCATACATTGCTGACAATCTAGTCACAACAACAAAACCAGAATCATAGCAACATCGAAATAAAAGATGAGGCCATGCATGCAATGTACACCTAACAAATACAATGAGAATGCAAAACACAACTTGCAACACAAGACAAGTCTACAAGTACGAGCAGCACATTCACAAATGTGAAAAACTTTCATCAGCTCCAAACCCTCAACCCCTATAACCCCCAAAACCTGCTTGGAGGTTGGTGGTGATAAGTCGGGTTGTAAGTACCCTCAATACGGTTAGTTGCATGCCAACCACAAATATATATATATATATATATATATCCCTCCTTGTAGCAACTCATGAACCTCCAAGCCCTAGACCCTTGTAAACCCTAAACCCCCGAAAGCTAAAGCCTCACACACCCCCAAGCGCGTCCTCATCGCGATGCTGGGGTCCAAGTGCGCCGCCTCGTGGCCCCAGCACAAACAGTGACACCTACCTGAGGGTTTAGGGTTTAGGGTTTCGGGTTTAGGGTTTAGGGTTTAGGGTTTAGGGTTTTTTTCCCTCCTGCACAGCTGGGGCGAATCCGCATCGCAGGGCTACTTCGTTTAGGGTTTAGGGTTTGACAAGGTGACAATGTATCCTGCCCACATGACCCATTCCAAAAGGTCCCACCTTCTGAAAAAAAGGGCAATTGCAGGCATGACGGGCATCCTTGGGGTGTTTTCTAGCTTTCTTTCTGCAGGGCCTGGGAATCCCAGGGACTCCAGTAAGTTCCCGTTAAGGTAGGGAGAGTCCGTAACATGTACAAAGAGGGCTCCTTGTATGGTTTAAGGAATCTTTCTCACTTAAGGAGTATGGGAGTGTCGGGGATTTTTTACTGCGTGTAAGACGGCATCAGACTTGTGTAAGCGGATAATTTTGGGAAGAGGTGAAATGAGGAATTTCACGCACAAGTTGTTGCTTTCCCGCAGTCCGAATGCCAACGGGCATAGCCTCCAGGAACTCACGCGCCCGGTCGAGGGATTCGAAGTGTGCAATCACAGGCTCAGCAGACCTAGGACTCATCTGGTTCAGGGTTTAGGGTTTAGGGTTTAGGGTTCCATCTACCTGGAGGTTCATTTGGGTAGTTATAAGTAGGGTTGCAAGTACGGCAACAAAACTCAGACCACTATTTTGGGGGGTACTTATACCCCTATTTCTGAGTTCCCACGAACCCCCAAGTAGGATTCATGCAAGGTTCCCCAGCAACCTGGGAATGACAGATGGTGGCTACTTTGCTTCATGGGGAGATGGGAGCACAGGGAGGAGAAACAAAGTTTGTTCGGTCAGGTATAGAAAACCCTAAACCCTAAACCCTAAACCCTAAACCCTAAACCCTAAACCCTAAACCCTAAAGATCCGTAGCCAGCAACTACTGGAAAAAGGGTGCTTCTGGGCGTCCTAGGTCTTCAAGGAACCGGTTTGAAGCGCAAACCTCTGCAGCCACCGCGAAGACCATGAAGCACCTGACCTGCTTTTTTTCAGGTGGGTCAGCCGCACAGAGAGCCCCAAAGAGCAAAGAAACCTCAAGCTTTCTCTCAACCCTGGACCCTACCCAGAGACTCCAATACCCCTTAAATAAGGAATTTCCTTAAACCATAAAAGGAACCCTCTTATGATAAGGAGTATTCCTTATTTAAGGGCTATTGGAGTATCTGGGTAAACCCCCAACAGTGCAGGTGAAGGGACCAGGAAATCACTGGGCTGGCGCCGAACACATCAGCCGCCAGCGAGCTCTTCCCCGAGCCTCTCGACGCAGTTCAGGGATTCACTCCAGGGAGTCCTCTGCTTGGGGGAATGTTCGCTGCTTTAGTCGGGATGTTCCACCTGACACCAACAGTCCCTAGTAGTGACTACAATAGGGGGTACTATAATCCCTATTAAGGACTGTTCGTATAAGGGGAAACATTTCAAGGTTGTATTAGCTGTAAGGATATTTCAGAGTATTCCGTGCCTCTTGAGTTTCGCTCTAGCTTGACATACAGCCAATTTAGGTACTGACTTTATCTGAGCTGCTGTGGGGGCAAAAAAGGCTTGAGAGCAGAGTACGTTCCCAACATTGCTTAGCCCTCTCTACCTCTTCAGGGTTTCGGACTAAATAAGTTGAGGGATTCTCGGGCTGAGGGTCCCGGTGTACAACACCCCTGCTTACTGGGGGAGCAAGGGGACGTGCATAAAGCTACAAATGGACGGTTGCAGGGGTTTGCTCCGCCTCTCCCCCTTAGCTGAAGCCCATGGTCCCCAAATTCGAAGCCCAAGGTCCCAAAAGTTGTGGGTTTAATGAGCACAGACCCATTGCGCCTGATGGCCCTGTGATGACCTCCGTTCACAGAGGGACCAAGAGCCCGAAGGCTTCAAGTGATTAGGGGGTTTTGTATTTAAAAAAATGGAGCTTCTGCGGGTCTCAATGAATTCTGTAGTATAGGCATTTTAGTGAGTACCACAAAGGGCCCAGAATTTAGATCAACCCTACCAACTGCTGCAACCTCGAAGGGCTAAATGCAACAGATGAGATCAGACACCTACTCCGCGAAGAGCATACGAGTTGAGGATGTGGGGTTAGGGTTTAGGGTTTAGGGTTTAGGGTTTAGGGTTTAGGGTTTAGGGTTTAGGGTTTAGGGTTTAGGGTTTAGGGGTGGTTCGAATGCTGTAAATGGCTGGCGATGTAGGGGTCGTGTCCAGAGTGCTGGAATTCTCACATTCTTGACATCTTCTGTGATGCTCAGCTCTACGAGACCCTGCTTAGAGGGTCATGGGTAATTAGTTATAGGTAGGCTTGTAGGTACCTTGCGTAGGGTTCTAAGTATAGTGACCATACTTGTAGCTAGACCCATGAACCTCCAAGTAAACCCTAAGCCCCAACAGACCTCGACCTGCACCCACTTGAAACCCCCGAGTCCTGCAAGCACGTTCCCTTACCACCCACTCTTGAAATCCAGGCCAGTTCCTGGGATCTTCTGGGCTGCAAGTCAGCCACGCCCAGCTTGAAATCATGCGGGACTGGCAAGCTATCCAGGCGATGAACACACAGCCCGTCAAACGTCCAATCCAACCTTGGGCTCGATGCGCAGAGAGCCCAAAAGCTTTTAATTCAAGGCACTGCATATGGGGTCTTACTTCTGAACTATAAGATCTACTCCTTAAGGGGCGAGCGCAGCATCTCATACCACCCCAGTGGTTCGCACCTGAATGGTTACCAGAGACCTCCACATAAACAAAAACTACTACTTTGGGGTCTGAGATGTTCCCCCCTATACGAACAGTCCTTAGCAGGACTCAGTACCCCTATTCTAGTCCCTATTAAGGCCTGTTAGCATAAGGGGGAACATCCCAATCTATAAGTCATGTCTACCTTTGCCTTTGTGGGGGCCTGCGGGTTATTGTGCAGGATCTTGGAGCCTTGAAGTAAGCACACATGATAGGTCATGCCTGCAGATGATGTATACGACTAATTGATTAAGAACCCCCCCCAAAAAAAAAAATAAAAACATAGTCTTCCTCATAAGGGTAATATAGGGATTATTACTTTAATGATTCTTTTGGGGTTCTTGAGCAAATGGTAGTATAGCTTCCCAAAGGGCTACTCTCACATAGCCTGAAAGGCCCAATCCTTGTTGTAGGACCACCTTCAACAAAAGGTAGAGCCCACTTTGTCCAGCCCACAGTATGCTTGGCGCAGTGCGAGATCCCGAAAGCCAATCCTGAGAAGCCCCTGACAAGACCCGAACTGCAGGCGTGCTACAACTTGCTCACGTTGGCGAGCTTCTCACCTGGTCTTACTACTTCTTAATCGGTAGTGAGGGAATTTGATACCCTAAACCCCTAAACCCCTAAAGCCCCGAACTGGGCGGCCCCTAGAAAGAGGAAGCTAGGCTCTTGGGATAACCCAGAGAGCCCAGCAATTACGACTTGATTTCAGGAATAATTAAACCACAAGCTACATAGGGAGTCTTCATTATTGCATTGAGCCTTTGGGGCTCTTAAGGGGCTCAGTTGACTTGAATGCTCGGGACTCTCCTGGAATCCAGACGTATGCTCCATGAGACAGCACTGTTTCTAAAACCCCAAACCCTAAAACCCTAAACCTTGTAAACCCTAAGCCCTGACTACGTGAGGCAGCGAAGGTGCTCAGGCTGCCATCCAACTCACCTACGTAGGTGGCCAGATAGCGCTGGTGGTCCTCCCAGGGGACAAGCCCCACTTTGAGGGTATGACTCCTGCTAGCTCTAGGCCTTCTGATTCTAGGCAAACAGGGTGCAGTTTTGAGACCTCCAGCAACTGTGCTCCCATGAGAGCCATGTCGGCTTTGCCCTGAAGCGGCAAAGGTAGAAAAAACCAGCAGCAGTCGAAACACAGCACGCAAGTTAGCTGAAGTGAGCACTGCCCCCCGCAAGAAAGTGTATGGCCGCTAGACTTTAGCTGTGACTATGGCGGTGTAGGGCTAGGGGTCAGAAGCATTACGAATAGTATTCCCCTTCTAGTCCCGAGAGAGAAATGCCATACTAATTCCGCAAAGCCGTATGTTAACCTCGGGCTTAGGGCTTAAAATCAATGTTAGCTACGCCAGACCACTAGTATGACTTGTATACTAACCCAACCCTAAACCCCAAACTTTAGACCCTGATGGACACAGGGAACCGACCGAAACGAAGCCACCGCAGCCACCGCCTCTGTCGCTTCCAGGCGCGCATCGAAACGGAAGTCGGCCAAACGCACGACCTGCACGGGAGTTTTCCGAGGTCGAAACCCCCAAACCTTACAAACCCGAGAGCTCAGGCACTAACAGGTTTGCCCTGAACTCTATAAACCCTGAACCGGTGTGTCGGATCTTGAGTTTTTTGTGGTCCTCCAGGGCTTCGAGAGATTGGGACCCGGAGCTTGCTCATGGAACTTTGGGTTCAGGGAGTTTAGAGTTTAAGGTTTAGGGTTTAGGGTGTGCTTGGAGGCTCATGTGTTGCTATAAGCAGGGTTACAAGTACCCTGAATAGGGTTGCAAGTAGAGTTACCATACGTATAAGGAGGAGTGGATGCCTATAGCAATAGTCCGAAACCCTAAACCCTAAAC